AGAGCTGTTGTTGTGTCCTGACATCTCATCGCTAGAGACCGCTTCTCTTACGTCTGTTTGTGACACCTTACATGACGACTTGTCTGCCCATTGCTGCTTTGCTTGAGATAGTTTCTCTGCCTGTGACTCAGCTGTTGGGGACAATACTGACCACTGAGTCTCACAGACAGTCTGGGAATCTGGCACCTCCTGAATCAGGCTTACTTCTTCAAGATCCGATTCCTCACTGTAAAGGACATTGGCAGTGAGATGAAAAACATGAAGTGAATTACCCAAGAAATAGATACATTTTTTATAAAAGTTTATTTAAACAGACAATGCCAGATAATCTGATTTACCTATATCTTGATTTCCGTTTTGAAAAATGTCTTTATAAGCACTTTCAAACTCAACCCAGAAGTTATAAACATTCCTAGAAACAACAACCAACCACCTCCCCTCCAAAAAACCCCAAGCATTCATATCTACATGAACAAAGATACATATCTTTCAGGGTGGATCTGACAATGCCTAGTGGTAGCCATCATGGAATGAGCAACTATGAAAAAAATTGTGACATAATCTTAACTTTTACGCTATGATGTGTAAATATAATGCTTTTCACTGTTGTAACAGGAAGTAAGCAGAATTATATGAGAATGATTTGAATCACCTGGCAAAGCTACAATTATTTATTTATTTATATTATTATTTTTTTCGGTAAGTATTTTACAGTGCTCGTAACTGCATACGGTAATTAAATATGAGCGCGCGGGGCACGCCAACATTTTTAATTGGTAGAAAATTTTGAATTTTGCACGGGTGGCGGCCAAAGCCTACTCTTTTCGATTTTAGACCACCAAGGGATCTTTAAAGTGCGCTATTTGCACACGAGACCTCTAAGATTTTTTGCCCGTGTCCGGGAAGGCAAGGTGTAGATCTTTCCTACAATAAGATCAGGGGTGTGGCTGAAAGACAGCAGTAAGAAAGAGCCAAGGAGTAGCAGTAGAAAGGCTGTAGAAAGACGTAAAGGAGGTGAAGGGGTGGGGCAGAAAGTGGAGACGAAAGCAGACGACAGAACATTGCAAGAAAGCAGGAAAGGATATGAAAGGAGACAATTTTAGAGACAATACTTTTTTTGGCGTTACTCCGATTCCAACCCGGGACCTTTGAATGAGAGGCGAACACTTTAACCTCTAGGCCAGGAGAGCCCCCAAAGCTACAATCTGATTTTTTCCTTTGTATGAACAGTAAAAAGAGTGAAATCATAAGTAAGAAATGAAAGGAAAATAAATGCGATTTTCAACAGTTCTGCCGCACATTACTATCCTCTGCAAGACCAGTCAGTTCTATGAAAACTTGGCAGTTTCCAAGTTAGCAGGGTCCGACTTATGATGATAAATTTACATCAACCAATGTCCCAGTGCATAGGTCACAATATGAAAAAAAAAAGCAGCTACATTTTTACCTTTAAAACCAGGATTTAATTCAGTAGAAAGTATACAGCAGGTGAATAGTAGTTTTCTTGATCCAAGGGAAAAAACCCAACTTAATCAGAGCTCCTACAACCCACATTACACCAGATTTTACAATTGATCGCTGTTAAGGACAATCGGGCTAACCCAGATTTCGGGGGTTTCCAGAAATCTTGACCTACACCAAAAGTGGGCATTGCCCTACCTACATGAGAAGTTTGGTTTCATTGGTATGTATTTTGTTTGGTTATAGAGAAAACTCTCCTTGTCTTTTAAAGAAACTGAACAATGGGCAAAAATTTTACCTTCGATTTTTCTCAAAACAGCATTTTTCGGGATAGCCCCCTTGTGCTTATAAGCGACCAATTCAACTGGAGTCACTGAAGCAGCTAAAGAGTAATGGAGGGAATTCAACACGAGCGTTACAAAACCATTTAACACTCTGCGGTCACTTGGCCCTATAATGCGTTGGAGAAAATTATCCATTCTATTCATTTCTGCCCCACGCCCGAGAAGTCCGCTGCAGTCGCTCTCCTGGCTCGGCGACCAGATGGGGCATTTTGTACTGCTGGCTCTGTGACTGTAAAGTGCTAACACAAACACTTTCAACAAAACCTCTGGCCACACCCTGGAGGAACGAACCTGTCTGTGTTGGAAGCTAGCACAACTGGCTGCTGGAGGTCATACACTTGGGTCTCTTGCCCAATCTCTATGCTAGGCTGAAGAGTCTGGCTCATACATTCTTCCTGGTCCTTCTGCTGATAAAACAAGACAAAAATAGATTGCATAAACAAAAATAATATAGGGGAATCTTCTATTATCTATAGTGGGAGAGAATACAAAGTATATTTTTGCGGACTTTTCCTTTTCTTCAGAAAACTACATTTTCGCTGCTCCCTTTAAGTTCAAGTATAACACACCAAAATTGGCAAACACATTAACAGCAATTGAGCTCTTAAAGTCGTAATTTCAGTAGTCCATGACATAAGCATTTTTTAAAAAGTACATCAAGATGTAAGGAAATTTTCAGCCAGATGTCACCTGGATGTGTCATCTCTGACTCAGAGGTTGACATGTAATGATACTCCACCCTTCACGGCCATGAGCTGCTGTTGCACATTTTGATATCCAGTTTTGTTTTGTTCGTTTATATCCAGGCCAGTCCATTTTTCATGTTGTCCATTCATGTTACTCTTTGTCTTCCCCTGGCTCTCCGCCCCTACATCCTTCAAGTAACTCTTTCACAATGGTCTGGTGTTGTTTTAAGTGGCCCAAGTATTGTATTTCCCTACATTTTATTTGATTCAGCAGGGTTTGCCCTGTGTGGAGAATCTTCTGACACCCCTCATTGCTCGTCTTTGTTGCTTTCCAATTTATTCTGGCCATTCTACAGTGGCACCTCATTTCAAACACAGTCATTTTGTTTTCTTCTTTTTTTTGTCAAAGTCCAGGTCTCAATGCAATTTAGGAATATGGGGAAAATGTAGCATTCCAGCATTTTCTTTTCTAAAAGTGAGAGATAGCTGCCTGGATTTAAATACTTTGTACATTTGGCAGAATCTTATTTTAGCATTTTCTGTTCTTACAGTTATATCTTTTTTACTTCTTCCATCATCTGTGATTTTTGCCCCTAGATATTTGAATTGGTGTATTTGTTCAATCCTATCGAAATGTAATGACCAGGCGATACCAAAAACTTATGAATCTTTCAGATTATACAACTGAATATCACATGTTGTAATATTGACAATTCAAACCAATCTTACACAATAATTTTACATATTTTAAATATTCAATAGATCATTGCTCCCTGAAATTGACATCCCCCTATTGCCTACAGTTCTCAACTAAATGGAAAGGAGCTGGGCAATAGATGAGCAACACCATACCAAGGTTGTGTCCTGGTCTTGACCAGAGCAGCCTCTTTTGTCGTCTACATCCCCAGCCAAGTTCATATCATCAGAGTCCATGTCTGTCTCTCTAGTTAAGCCAAAGTCATCTGGTGCCTGTGTCTCCTGGTCGTCAAGAAGGAATTGTCCACTGGCACATGATGCTTCATTTTCAGAAGATGAGTCCGGGATCTCAGTCACACCAGGACCTACAGATTTCTGAAATATCAAAAGAAAAATGCCCTCTTCCTGTAGAAATAATAACCTTACAGTGGTGAAAGGGGCACTAAAGTTTGACAATTGCACAAATTAAAAAAAAAATAATAAAAAAACAAACACTTTTACTAATTTTCAACTGAGTTTAGCATTTGCTTTTTACAACCAAAAATAAAACCCATCTATGATGAAAAAATAAAGCCTCTTTTAACTTACTTTTTCTTCCATCAAATTGATCTTCACACATATTGCATTCCATTCTCTGTATCTGAGTACTTCCAAACAAATCATATATTAACACTCTTCTCCTAGTGAGCAAGTCATGCTGCCCATTGACACCTTACAAAGGAAAATAGAACTTAAACAAAAGACCAAAATGAAGAAAACCCACACAGCTCTCACATAATTCATTAAGCACGTGGGACAGTCACACTTAACAAGGACACATTTTTTTAAAACATCACCTCAATACTTACATCCTCTACTTTCTCACAGCCACCATACGCTGAGTAAACCACTTCTTCAATCTTATTCTTCAGAATGGTTGCCGGGGACGCTACTGGCTTTGACATAACATCTGTATCACTCCCAGCATCATTACTGAGTGTTGTATCTCCGGCTGTTTCAACATCCTCATCATCAGATTCTATTATCTTTCTTCCTTGCCCTTGTTTGGCCCTTCTCTCATTAACATTTTTCAGAATGGTTGGCGGGGTAGCTACTGGCTTTGACATAACATCTGTATCACTCCCAGCATCATTACTGAGTGTTGTATCTCCAGCTGTTTCAATGTCCTCATCATCAGATTCTATTGTCATCTTTCTTCCTTGTCCTTGTTTGGTCCTTCTTCTCGTCTCATTAACATTTTTCAGAATGGTTGCCCGGGATGCTACTGACTTAGAAATAACAACACTCTCAGCATCTTTACTGAGTGTTGCATCTACTGCTTCCTCAATATCCTCATCATCAGATTCTATTGTCATCTTTCTTTTCTTCTGCTTGGCCCTTTCTCTGCTCTCCCTAACATTTTTCAGAATGGTTGCCGGGGATGCTACTGGCTTTGACATAGGACCTGTATCACTCCCAGCATTATTACTGAGTGATGTATCTCCAGCTGTTTCAATGTCCTCATTATCAGATTCTATCGTCATCTTTCTTCCTTGTCCTTGTTTGGCCCTTCCTCTGTTCTCCTTAACATTTTCCAGAATGGTTGCCGGGGTAGCTACTGGCTTTGACATAACATCTATATCACTCCCAGCATTATTGCTGAGTGGTGCATCTTCTGCTTCTTCAACGTCCTCATTATCAGATTCTATTGTCATCTTTCTTTTCTTCTGCTTGGCCCTTCGTTTGCTCCTCTTAATATTTTTCAGCAGCATCATATCAGTGTCTACATCCTCAGCTTCTCTTTCTTCTGCAGCCTGTTCTGGAAATGCCTGGCCCGATGTCCTAATCTCAGAAAACTCTCCTTCCAGGAAAGTCTCTACTGTACCATCAAAAGCATCCTTCTCATCACTCTTTTCCTGTTCTTCTTCCTTATTTTTCTCCTTGTGCTTCATGGCTTCCCTTTCATCATCTTGTTTGAATTCTTCACTTGGAGACCAATTCCACTGTTTTTTTACCTTCGAACTTCTGCGCCACTCCATCGCCTCTTTGCTTCTGTTAACCTTAACTCTTTTTCTTTCGCTTTTACTCTCTTGCACCTGGTCATCCAGCTGCTTAATTTCTTCAATTATCTGAACAGCTGCTTTCTTTTTGTCCTTACGAGCCATCCCAGAGTCTTCTTTCTCTGCTTCTTCAGACCGTTGTTCTGTTTGACCAATACTAGTTGATGCATCTTTCGGTAATTCAGAAGCAATCCCTGATCTTTCTGGCTCATCTGTCATGTCCTTTCCCTTTTTTAAAGACACAAATAAACAAATCATGTTCATCATGTACAGATATGCAAAAACATACATATTTTATGATACAAATATGAAACATTAATATTTTACGGCTATTATTAACTCTTTGAACCGTGGATCTTCAATGTCCAAAATCCTTATCCGTGGGCTCATCAAAAAGTCGTTAGCTGCAGGTGTAAAGGCCTTACGGAATACCAAGATATACACTCCCAATCAATTTACTGATCTAAAATATCAACAAGGCTGTATTTGGGCAGGATGCATACATGTGTGTATTAAAATTCAAAAAGGATCTCTGAACATGCAATCTTTTCAGCTGCTATACAACAATACAATAGTTTGTTTTTACACCTGAGTACAAAAATATAACACAAGACGCCACATGCTCCCACTCACATACACTGATACATGACTTTATTAACAAAGCTAATTTCTTACAGGTCAATTTAATATAAAAAAATTACACATTTAATATCCCTTTCATATTTCTCACTCTAATCCTGACTAAAAGTCCTAATACCTCAATTGTGCGCGATGCGTCTGGGTAATTTCTTTTCCTTAATCATAGTTGTTCATAATCCCACTGCTGATGAATGTGCACTTACAAATTACAAGTAAAAAGAGACGTGGCTTTTCCCAGTCCCCCCCCCCCCCAACCCAAAGGTAAAGAGCTTCAGCTTTCTTCAGTAACACAAGTTCACAGAGGTAAATAAGGCGTGCAAAACAGAAGAAAGGAATCTAACCTTTAACCTTAACTTGAAAATTAAAATAAACCAAGGAGAAAAACTACATGAAACAAGAGAAGTATGAAAAAACAAAACTTTTAATATTAGGCATACCTTGCTCTGTTCAGGCATTGATTCCAAATCTTCTTCTACGTGACCTGTACTTTCAAGGATTGCTTTCTGCACAGGAAAGTCAAAAGCAAAAGCAAAGTCAACAGAATAATAACCTAGAAAAAGTAAGCTACAACGATCTCAGTAGATTCAATTATACACATCAAAACAATTCTTACTTCATGACCACAGTCTGAAGTCAAAGGAAAAATTAAAGCATGAACACACACTCACTGTAAACACATCACTGAAAACTTGATCATTACATGGACTGTGACCAATCATTATTACATGATGCAGGAGAGGATTGTTACGACAGGTGAGGTGGCTTTTCCGTAGCAATGTGAATCAAGCCTGTATATAAATGTGACAAAATTTAGGTCGCTACTATTGGAGAAGTACATTTGGTAAGGTGGGGCAGGTACTGGTACCCAGTACCGGAATTCCCGGGACTACCATAGGCAGTAGTCAGTACCGGCACCAGGCCACCAATACTGGTACAGGGAAGCAAGTGGTACTGGCTCTGGGAAGGTGCTCACACCAAGTGCTTAACACAACGGGTGATGTGCCCTTGGAACTAAAACCCCATTTACTGTGCAGTGTGTTGAAGCTTTGACGTCCAGATGCACAGCACAAAGCCCTAAGTGGAAACAAAAGTGAAAGTAGACCTTGAGAATGTCCCAAGCCGGAATGCCAAATCGATACTGCTTCCGTTATAGTTGAAATATCACATGTGAGTAAAGAACCAACATTCCCCGAAATTTAAAAAAAAAATTGTCAACACATAAATGCGATAGGTTGGGGGGGGGGGCGCAGAATGCAGAAGTGGAAACACTAGACGTTAAGAGCGTCTGACATCTGTTCTCAGTCCAAGTACTGGCGGAACTCGACACCTAGTACTGATAAAGTACCAGAACTCAGTTTCGCTGGGAACATCCAGCACTAATTTTTGAAGATGGGCAGGTTGGTCACTTGCTTCCTTAAACAATAAATGAAAATTTGCTAAGCGTGCACTCACCATAATCCCCTTTCGTTCTTCTTCTGACATTCCCAACGCTGTCTTGTGATCTATGCCGGCTGCTGTATTAGAAACATTGCAAAAGAAATCCATAAGACTATACCGATGCATACAATTCACACATGTGTAAACTTAACATGAGGCAAACAGCAGTGTAGACTTACAAGACAAACACTGAAACAGGATTTTTTAGTTTTATTAAAAGTGTTACAGCACTTGCAACACAATAAGGTCATAAAAGTGCCAAAGAATAGATTACGTGTTACAAGACAGTAACATACACAAAAAAGAATGAGGGGAGATAAGGACGACAGATGTTTGATAGGAAAGATGGAGCAAACCACACCACAGCACCCACCAAAAACCCATTGAAACAGGTCTGAACACATTTAATTTAACAAACCAGTCAACAACAAAATGCATTTTAACAAAAGCTCATATATATATATATCCGTAATGACAAGTAAAGAGAGGTGAAAATGGAGCTTTCATGTTCGACTCTCATTCAATAGGCCCCAGGTTGGAAACCTGACAAAGATGGACAATTTTATTTTCTAAAATTTTCTCGTTCCCCTCCTTTCCTGCTCTCTAACAATGTCATGTCATTTTTGGCTTTCGTCTCCACTTTCTGCACAATATATTTATACAACATTATAAAAGCATACCAATGTTGTAATTGTAGGCAAAGTTGTGCACCTGCTGAATCAGGAGGCCTGCAGGACAAATCACCAGCCCTGCTCCTGACAACTGAAAAGAAAGCCTCACTTTCCCTCTTAAAAACTTCCCCAAGATACGAGCCAGACATAACTATTTTGGAATTGTGATCATTAGAAGAGAAAAGTTATCAATTTCTCATCCCTAATAATCCTGTCTGAGCACCAAAAAAAAAAAAATGGGCATAGCAAATTTAATTTCTTTAAAAATTCGAAATCTTTTACAAATCAGAAAGACATCAGCATAACCTTACACAGCTGTTCAGTTCTACTATCCTTCCGGAGCACTTAGTTTAACCCATCCGCTGACCTCCAGGGGTCATAAATCCCACCTGACAATCGGGCTACGCATCACTTCCTAGGCAATAGCGCTGTTAGCCGATTTTGGGTAGAAGTCTGTAATTTTCACTTGATTTAGACCCCTGTAAATGTCCTCTCTTATCTATCACTATGGGTGTGTGAGGTATCAAATGAAAGCCCAGACTATCCCAAATAACCTACATCCTTTAGTTTGGTTCTAGTTCTAATCGTGTTCACACACTGCCTCTGTACTTAACCCTACCTAGTGGTGCACGTATTTTTTGGATTGCTACAAAGATCAGGATTTTTTTCCATTTGTGAAACGCAGATTGTTATCCTTTTTTTATCTGCCGTATCAAGAGTCAGTAAGGAGGTTATTTTTGAAAAAATTGTTTAGATTCACTGGAAAACTTTAACAGGACGGCAAGTTTTGTTACTTCAGCCTGTAATATTTTCGCGGCCGCCGTGCTGCCCCGCGTGGTATTCACCGGAGGTCCCGCTTTCACTTTCCCCGACTCTTTATCGACAAGTGTTAGGAGAGTCTGCTACAAGAGGGAAAATGAAACACTCCGGAAACTACACCTTGCGGGTTAAAAAATAACCCCGTGTAGAACATGCGAGGGCCAGAAGTAAAAAAGTTAAGGAGGCAAACCAGAGCAGATATTTAAGTTTAAAAAAATGACTTACTCGTATTCTATCGCGCAAACGTGGACAAAGATAGTGCAGACACACATCCCTGTGAAATGTTCAACAAATTAATGTGTACAGAACATATACACTCAAGGAAACAAATTCGAGAAGCAACTCTATCTGCAGCGCAAAAAAGTATTTAAGAAAGTTAACACAGCTGGAGACCTTACCATAGTCGATCTCTGATGGGAAACCATTGTCACCAATACTTGAAGCGCCCAGTGTACACAAACATCACAAAACACATTTACACACACACTGCGGCTCTTACATCTAACCAAAACATCATAGACGCAGCCCACGCAATCAGACATAAATCTGATTTATTAAACAACAGCTATGCTGAAGTACACCACCTCATTTCTCACACACCTAAAATACAAGAAACTGACATTATAGGAACAGCAATTTGTGCATATTTGAAGCTGTACTGACGATTATTTCCAAACGCAGTCAAACAACTCATATTAGAGCACCACTGTCTGCCTTTTATTTAGGGATATGGATTTGGCCTGGGTTTAATGGGCGAGCAGGGTGGCAAACTTGTGTACTCCAGCATCGCAAAACTGGAGAAGAGGACAGTGGGAATTAAAGAAAGGGAAACAGTTGAAAACTGTTACTGAAGCCCACAGACCGCAAAATGCGTCCGCGCCTAGGCAGCACCTTTGAAAGGAAAAAAGAAGAAGACAACTAGTCTGTGACTCTTTTGCAATTATTGTTATAAGTACATGTATTCACATGTTATGTGTTTGTGAATGTGAAAGCAGCTCTAGCCGTGAGGAGACAACAAGGAAACTCTTGTTTCATGGAACTTGATAGCAGTGAACCTTCTACAAGTTCCATATTTGTGAAAACTGTGAGGAAACAACGAAAAATCTCTCATTTAATTATTTGACAGTGGTAAATCTTCTACAATTTCCCCATTTCTGAATGAATCAAACCAAAAGTAAGTGTTTCTGAAAGTTCATCATGTCACTGTTGTATACCCCTGATTATTTTAGAGATCTGTAGTACACATTTTAAAATATCATAAATTCAAAAAGTAGACCTATGAAACAATTTCCCCCATAGATGCCCTCAATTGCGGCCATGTTTTAAAGGGTACCCTGCTAATAATACCAATAAAAAGTTATTTGCTGTACAGTCCAAGAATGCATCTATCTGTTGATAGTAATTTCACGTTGATTTGTTTTTATAGGAAAAGTCACAATGAAGCAATTAAACTATAAAAATTGTTACGTCACAACAGTTCACTCGCAGACCAAAGGTCAAAGTGACCTCCGTGACCACCCGGGCGCGGCATGACTGACCGGGTCAATTCCTCAGGTAACTAAGCGCTCCGCTCGGGAACAGCCATGCTTTTATCATAGAATATATTTAATGACTTAAATATCTAAGACCATTTTTTTAGAGCCAGCTGGAGGCAAACAAACTTTTAAGACATACAAACCAAAAAAGTAGTCTTAGAAATCAACTAAAGCTTTCCCTCACTGTTTTTTTCCCCTTTTTATTTATAAAAATTATTGCAACTGTTTTACATCACCTTGACATGAACACAGTTCAGATCATCAAGGAGGAGGGCTGCTTTGGCATTGTCTACCAGGTCAAAGCAAACACAGGCAGAAGTGGACACAATATCACAGAGACAGACGGAGGGGTCAACAATTAATGCAATACTGAGATTAAAAAGTTCCCCATTCGAAATCAACCTTACATTTTCGGCTAGCAATTTAAAAGAGTTTTAAAAGCTATAATCACTCCTACATTGCAGACATTGTTAACCTCATTTTGCATACAATAAATTCTTTATGCAAGTAATTGACACATAAAAGGCAACTAACCTTCTAATAAACGTTGTTCCTTCAAGTTCATTTCATTTTCATTCTCTTGGTCTCTCCCAATTTCATCTTCTGCAGGTGCATCTGCATGACCTCGAGTCCTTCCTCGTCGAGTTACTCTCTTCATCTGTGAAAAATAACATATAAAATTGAACAATAAAAGGATCCCAATATCATCATTGACTTAATTTATCGGCCTTCAAATTAGGAATAGGACTGGTTTACAAAGCACTTGAAGTTAACTAACTTACAGCAACAATAAAAAGGGTATAATTTTACTTTCTCTGCAGCACACAGAGATGCACTGCTTTGGGGATCAAGAACACAGTAATTTTTGCTGCAGATAACACACACTAAAACTGTTGAGTAAATCATTTGTGAAGTAGCACTGTGAAATCAGGCGCTTGTCAAAATACTGATATATTCAGAGATAACGCATTTTTCTGCCAGTTTGGAAATTTTTATCAAATTTTTCTTTTTGCCGAAACCTCTTTTTTACATCCATAAAAACACATTTCCACGTGAATTTTATGGAAAAACATCAATTTAAGGAAAAAAAATATGTCACTTTTCTGTTTTCAATGACTCTTTAGCTATTGGAGTTACCAAACTTTGGCGGCCATTTTCTTGCTATTTTCACCACTGAAACTAGGCGACCTAACTTCCTTCAATCGCAAACATCTCGAGTTCTATTCAAGATGGATATCTATTTCATTGAAAGCAAGGCAAACAAATCAGCTTTCAGATGATTTTATTCACAATTACTTTCAAGAAAATTTCAGAAGGAAATCTGTAACAAGCGACCACTATGAGAAACAGAGTAGAATAGAGGGTTAGGGTTAGGGATAATTGTAGGGGCTGGTTCAGGGTTAAGGATAGTTAGGTCTCTTCTTTATTTGTTTATTGGGGTGGTCGCTCGTTACGGAAGGAAGTCCTTCCAAAATTTCAAACTTAATAGTAGTAGAACATTGGGACCGATATGGTTTTTAATATTCGAAAGTATTGTGCTAAGCCTAACTGCATGGTGATTTTCTTTATTTCCCTGCTTTGGACTTTGGACAAATTAAGGGGGTTTCAGTGGGGCATGCCTCCTTGAGGTATATATATAAAAAAATTGGGGAGGGGCATACACCCACATTTTCCCCCATAATTTGGTTAGCGTAACTTATAATTTCCACCCCACAGCACACAGGTGCACTACTTTTGGGCACTAAGCTGCTGCATTTTTTTACCGCAGAACATGCAGATGTGGCCACAAAACCTGACTGTCTTCATTTCAAGAAATCTCATTGCACACAATTTTCCACATGAAATAAGGGGAAAAATAGACAGAAGCGCCTGTCCCTCCTTCCCCTAACCAGATTTCCTCCTCGGTAAGGATTACAGGGCCAGGGCATGTATATCCCCCCCCCCACCACGATTTGCGGAGAATGGCGTCATGAACGTAGTTTGCAGGTTACATTATGACATTCCAGGTAAGGTGAGGCAAGTACCCGGGTAAAGAGCTCAAAACCGGCTATCCGGGTATTGGTGTCGGGTACCCCCAGGTTTTCTACTCCCCTTCCTTAAATCCTATGCAAATGTACTTAAATTACGTCCCTTCGTTCGAACCTTATATTAAGTACTGAGTACTTATCGATCAATACTGAGCTCTCTTAGTCGATTCAGTAACTTGATCGAATTGGCCACTGGCGGTTCTTTTACAGAGTGAGCTTCGCAAGCGCTTCACACAACCAGAGGACAAGTATTTTGTGGCAGCATCAACTATCCTCGACCCCTGTTTCAAACGACTTCCTTTAAGTGAAGGCGCAACGAAAAAATAAAAACTCGCCTTCTTTCAGTGATTAGAGACAAACAAGGACACAGACATGATCAAACACCAGGCTCACCATCGGTTTCAGCTGCTGAAACAGAACCTCCGGCAAAAAAAATAAATAATTGTGGCAAGCCTTCAACGTGCAAGCAGAGGAGCATATCAGAATCTATAGGTAAACTTCTCTCTGCCACTTGTAACAAGTGCCATAGGTCCAACTGAATCGGTACTACTTTGAGATCGCTCCTGGCCAGAAAGGGAGAGGACAATCCACTGACCCGATGATGTCAATATGAAAAGCTTTTCCGGAACTCAGCCAGGAAGCCAAAAAGCTTTCGGCTATTCCAGCAACATGCAATCAGAACGGCTGTTCTCCAAGGCTGGTGAATTGATTTCGTCAGAGAGGACTTGCCTTGGCGAAAAACATGAGGACAAACTTTTGCTTATTAAACAAAAATTTCAAATGATCGGCCCCCTCTTTCCCGGTCCAGCAGGTGTAATATGTTTTGATTTTCTCAAAGTCATTGACATGACTTCATTAAGAGTTCGAGACCCATTGCCAATCATTGTCTTGAAATTTCCCCATTATTGCGTGTATGCTTACTTTGTGGTGTCCAATTTTGATGATTTTGAAAATAAAACAGACAAACCAACAAAAAAATAAGAAGAAAAAACACCCCCCGCCCCTCTCCACAACAAGACAATAGAAATGTCGGGTATCCCTTGGGTATTTTTTTAATACCTTAGATAGTTCCAGCCCCAGTTCATGGCATCCTGAATTTAAGATTTGTTGTAGTCTAGAGAATGATCTTGCTCACTTCACACCATAAACTTTGGAAGTGGCTATTCTCATCCGGGGTGAAAATAGAAAAACGATCTACCCCTCACCCCGGGTGAGACTTGCCAGCGTAGGCTATTCTCACCCGGTGCGAAACAAGACCTGCTTTTCCTCATTTTGGAATACTGTCTATCGGTGTGGATGATCAAATTTATAAAAGCCAAGAAAAAATTACGTTATATAGCACAAAAGTAAGCTAATTTGATCATGATGATCTTCAAAGATGCTATGGCTATTTCACTGTTCGAATCGACCCGAACTACGCGGGTCGCCATTTTGTTTTGCCCGGAAGTTCTCGCAAGATCTACTCCTCCCCTCTCTCTCTGTCTCTTTCTGAATACTGTCTATCGATGTGGACGATCAAATTGACCAAAACAAAGTTAAAAAATGATGTTAAAACACAAAAAAGTAAATTAATTTGGTTGTCTACAAAGATGCTACGCTATATTTTACTTTTCGAATCGAGCCGAACTACGTGGGTCGCCATTTTGTTTTGACCGGAAGTTCTCGCGCCACTCCTCTCTCCACTGCAAACAGACAAAATTGTACGCTTTTAGTAGGCTACAGTTGTAATGGAACGTTTGTTCACGGCACAGAATTCTACAATTTTTCTGTTATCACAGTGTAGAATTCTGTGGTTTAGGGTGAACGCAAAATTTGTTGGCCTAGATCTAGGCTATAACGGTGAACGCGCACCGGGTGAGAATAGCCAAAAGACTCGCCAGCACTATTCTCATCCCGGGTGAGAATAGAGGTGGCCATAAACTTTACCCGCTAAAAATATATTCACCCCCCTCCCCACATTGGCCTTTTTCCATTCTCCCTTGTTTCTTTCGAATGATCTTTTTCACATTTTCGAGCGTTGCCGGGTTCGCACACATGGGAAAACGATGAAAGTCGCATTAATTACACGCTTGGCAAGAAAGAAGGCCTTGTTGACTGCGGCTGTTTCGCTGTGCCCTCCTTCACCCTCCGTTGCATTCGGACCACCCCTGCATATTTATTCGTGAGTATTCCTATGCCTATGCTATTCCTCATTCACTTTGAGCGACCATGGTCCATAATTTTCAGTCGTGCCTCTGTACGTCTTGTACCAATGTTGAATGTTGGATAATTCGGGGGCCGTGAACATACATGTAACTGTAACGACAACGTAACTTGCAAACTAGGCCTACGTTCACAGCGCCATTAATATTAACGTATTCACTACATTTACATAAAAGGTGACTAGATTCAAGTGTTAAAATTGCGACAGAGTGAACACGGCGTGTTTATTGATGAGAGTGAACACGGAGTAGGAGCTCTTTTTACGTAGAGATCTAGAATCTAGATCTAGATTAGATCTCTAGATTCTAGAGTTAATGATTAGAATCTGACATACATCTAGAGCAGGCATTCAAATGTTTAAGACGAATTTGACAAAGCTTTTGCTAGAATCTAGACTCTAGATCTAATCTAGATATCTAGATCTAGATCTAGATCTAGATCTAGATTAAATTTAATTAAAGATGAAAATTGTGTTGCCTTTAGGAAGAGAAATCATCTTAGAGAGTTGAGAAGGAGAAGTCCACATGACGATTTGGCCAAAAGAGTAGAAGTGGAAAACAAAACAGAGTTTGGCATTACACTACACGGAATTTAGCGCACTTACTTTCGTTCAACCATTAGCCAGATAGACCTAGAGATCAAGATCTAGGCCTAATGCCTCTGTAAACTGCAAACAAGGCAAAAGGAGAGAGACTCAGAGAGATCAGCAGGGCTCAGAATACCGAGAATAGTGCTGAGTGAGTGCAGTTTAAATTTCGTGTTTCGTTCGTTCACCCAGTCACTCAGGACGAAGGCTATGTTTTGAATGTTTTCATATTTTTCCCCGCGGAATGTTACGGTAAACATTAGCCTAGTTTCAATGTTATCATTCTGAATTTTTTTTAACTTCAAAAAGCTGTCTGAAAATATTGAATGATTATTGGCTAGAAAAATTGCACAAAATGTTCAGCACGTTTATTTTGAAAAAAGAATTGAGCCTAATTGGTCCAAAAGCAAGAGTGTCCGACCAGAGAAAATATTAGTATTAGCCTATGATGGTTGGTGGTTGAGTTTTTAATCTTTACAGTAGGCCTGGGACTACTACAGTACTGAATTGTTCCTCAGCCTAAAGTTTCGACTTTAGTTGCCATAATTCTATTTTGAAAACTGGATACAATATTTGTAATTTTATTTTGATTTCTTTTGATAACTCTACCAGCATATGAAATCAATTACCATACATTCGAAGACATATTTGAGAACTCTGCATATGATCAAAGTTTCCTCCCCCTAATTAACATAGATTGGATCAAAATGGCTGCCACATTGTACTGATGTCAACAAATGAACAGTGATGGCTGTACGTTCTTTTTTAAGCTATAGTTTGGGACTTTAGTTTGTCAAGCAGTGATACAGCTAATTGAGTAAATCATAGATAAAGGCACAGAAAAGAACTTTAAGCTTCCAGAGTGAATAACTCCTTTAAATAAATCGAATACGTTGAAACTTATCACAAACACACACCAGTACAGGAAACCAGTCACAGATCAGCCTATTATTTGCTGGTGGTAAGGCGTTGGCATTGTTATTGTCACTATTTATGTATGTCATTGCCTTTGTAATATGAATCTAGCAAACATGAGTGTTTAAAAGGAAATGCAGCTGACACAGGTGCGATCTTAGAAATGGCTGTAGTTATTCGCACCGATTATTCGGACTCGAGTCCGAATATGAAAAAATGTTATTCGGACTCTGATTCTTGTCCAGCATGACATCACTTCCGACTTCCTGTGACTCATGAATCCGGCTTCCTGTCCTGCCTCACTCGTGACTCGCCTCAGGCTGGGTAGAGACCGGGATCACTTCGGGCAAAAAGGCGTTTTGTGCAGGAGCCGAGTTTTAATCTTATGATGAATTTGAGGCCGGCCTGAAAAGTTACAGCGCTTCTAATAAATGTTTATTTGTCAAGAGGTCATCAGAAGCAATTAAAGATGGCTTGTTAGCGTGTGTCGGGGTCGGATGGCCGGCCTGCACACGTGTGGCTGTGTACGTGTCGGGGAGGGTGGTGGGAGGGGGGCACTATCGGTCCGGGCTTTGAACGTCGCATACACGCGTCAGTCTTTTTCCCCCCGGCAACTGATCATTATTACAATAATAAGCTAGTCTTGACGTAGATCTACGTAATGAATTGTGCGCTGGTCTATGGAATCAAAAGTTGCCGTATGCTCAGCTCTACACAGCAACACAATTTTTTCTTGGTAAACAGTCGATATGACACAGGCTTGTGTATTTGAACGAATCGGTCTTTTTTTTTTTTACACAGCTCATAATATGCAGGTGCCAGGTGGTATGCTAATCTTCAATTTTACCTTTTACTACAACAAAGAAAGTGGGAAACGTGGGGGGGGGGGCGTATCAATGAGGCGGCGGGCATTGGATCGGCAGATAAGATGTGGGGGAAACTAAAAAATGGCGGAAAATTGGAAACACTGAACGTTAGATCTATAGAACGAAGACACTTCCTTTTTTCCGGACCCGAGTCCGAATAACATTTTTTCATATTCGGATTCGCGTCCGAATAAGAATTTTTTTTATTCGGACTCGAGTCCGAATATGAAAATATGTTATTCGGACTCGAGTCCGAATAACGACGGCCTATTCGCACAGGGTGTGTGAATACTATGAAATTTTATTCGCACAGGGTGTGTGAATACTATGAAGTTATATTCGCACAGGGTGTGCGAATACTATGAAGTTATATTCGCACAGGGTGTTTCAAAAAAAGGATGGAAATCGGGCCTACCATTTCCTCATTTTTCCCCCTCATCGCGCAAGGACAAAGATATAAGGGGCTGGATTGAACCAGAGAGTTGATTGAACTTTGGTGGACCCGCCGTGTTTATATGTATTAATGCGCACTAGGCAAACAACGGACTTATACATTCATGGGTCCTAATCGACCGCTACGCGAAATAGTTCCCGGCGACGGGAGGCGGAGTGAGTGAGACTTGTTCCCGGCGACGCGAGGCGGAGTGAGTGAGGGCTGCGAGTAGTACTAGCTGCGAGAATACCACGAGAGAGAGATAGAGAGAGAGAGAAGGGGGGACGAGACGAAGTTGTAAACGGACCTGCATTTTATTATCCGATTCACTGAAGAGATCGAAGTCCGGAATATCTAGGCGTCGGATGAGGACGTTTACCGCAGGAACAGGCGCAGGGTTCTCACTATTATATTAGTATTACTTGATCCCAGCCGCTGTTTCTTTTTAGGGGGAGGCAGTGGAGGGAGACCAGAAGTGGATGATTGACCAGCAGGTTCCTGATTTTTTTTATTACATGTCGTAGGCTTATTTTTGCTCCTTTTCTTTTGAGGGGGAGGCAGCAGAGGGAGACCAGAAGTGGAGGATGGACCAGCAGGTTCTTGGTTTTCTGAATTAGTCATAGTACGCTAATTTTTGGTGGACCGCACCTTCTGCACTTAAGTTATTAGGATACTTATAGATCTAGTATCGACAATTGGGGGGGGGGGGGGGGGGGGGGGGCCTGCCACATACATGCAAATCATTTAACAGAAAAGTGGACCAGGAACATTTTATAGTTTGCTCTGCCCAAGAACTTTACTTTATAGTGGACCCACATTGCCAGCCTAGGCAAGGCCTAAGAGGTACCATGAGACTAATTAGAGACGATAGAGGCGCAGGTGAAGTTTATCAGACCAGTGAAAAAAGGGGGAGACATGGTGGAGGTATCTAGATTTGTTTCTAACCTGTACTGTAGCTATGCTGTCTTTTCAATTCAGTTCAGACTTTTTCTTCTCTTCGCTTACTTGGGCCATGACTTGACCGTAGCCTAGATTCTAGGAGAAATGGAGAATCGGGAAGGATTTTTACCTGTCCTGTACCGTGGTCTCCATAATCCGTATTAGATCTAGATCTAAACATGATGAATAACAAGCAAGCATAGAATGACCATTCCTTTCTTTTTAAAAAAAATCTTCCACTCACACCAGAATCTACTCTTAAATATCTAGATCCACATTAGATAAAGAAAAATACATGTGTATAGTCTGTATTTAGTAACCCATCACCATCATGCCCATGTAGATCATAATGGGAACAATAGATCTAGACATCTAATGGGCCTGTCTGTTCTCAGTGTCACTGGGAATAGTTTCTTGGCTTCATCCCAGTGACAGTGGGAACAATTCTGGCCTCTTCCCAGTGCTTTCCAAAATTAAGACCCTTAGCCTAAAACTAAAGGTGGGATACCTGGGTGTGACAAATGAGGTCCAAAATCAACTTAATGTAGTAACTCTGTAGTAATACATCATATTATTTATGGCCAAATGATTGCAGTTTTACTTTTAGGGACTATTCACAAAGACCCCATCCCTCTTGTCACCTTTCCCAGGACCCCCCCCCCCCCCCCCTCAAGTTGCTGTCAACCAAAATTATGTACACATGTGTACGTTTAGATTGCACCTTTGATTTTAAAACAAAATTGTTTATTAATTTAAAGAATACAATAATGGTGGCGCTGCCCCTGCTTGCACTGGAACCGGATCGACTGGTACATGTATACCGCACTCAAGGGGTCTGTTTGGCCAATTTTGGTGGATCGTGTCACCACAAATTTTGTGTTATTAGTACTTTCATACTCTTTCAGAGGGTCTGTGAACTCTGAAAAGCTCTTGAACTTGGCTCCCACGTCCATGCTGAATGGATCTAGAAAAACTAGAACTAGATCTAGGTGTTGAGTAATTTCAGATTTACGATGCAATAGCCTTGGGGCCAACAGAACGCTACTGGCAAGGTTCCCTCAGGGCTCTGTTTTGAAAAATGAAAAGCCATGCAGGTAAGCTTATTATATAGGCCAAGACTGCCTAGTTTCGCGAACTCTCGCGGCATTTGCCAATCTCGCACAGCGTTCGCAGCGCGCAACGATCTCGCGCAGCGCGCAGGTCGGGTCGACCCTGTGCGAATATGATTATTTCTTATTCGCACACCCTGTGCGAATAATATTATTTCTTATGCGCACACCCGGTGCGAATAACCACCTCCTTTAGAAATTGATTACCGGTGTCTTTATTGGACTGTAGAGTTATATTTAGGCATCACGGCCACCTCTATTCTCACCCGTTGTGAGAATAGGGCAGGCGAGTCTTTTGGCTATTCTCACCCGGTGGGTGTTCACCGTTATAGCCTAGGCCAACCAGTGAAGTGTTTACCCTGAACCACAGAATTCTACACTGTGATAACAGAATGGCCACCTCTGGACGCTTAATAACCCTGGTGCCCCCTGGGGAATGCTGGTTGTAAGAAAGAATTAATCTCTATAAGCTCACAGATTAAGAGTTCAGACTTTTAAAATAATATGTATGCCTGGCCTATTTTGTCATGGTCAAGTTTTCTTTCCCACTTGTCGTATGCAGCAGATGATGAAAGAGTTGCTTTGCTTATCAGAGCATGGAAAGACTCTGGGAAGCTGCTAACCATCCCCAATTTAATGGGAAAATCAATTTGTTAATTTTCAGATAATCTGAATTAGTAATGAACAGCTAGAGCTAGAGCCTATGATTTATCGCGTCCATGTGTTGTCATTTGTTTTTGTTTTTAAACTGTGCGTAGAAGTAGGAAAACCCGTATGGAGCCTAAAAATATCAGCTGCAGAGCTATAAATTTCCTTAAACTGAACCTCATTTTATTTGGCCTTGAAATTAAGGTTCCCTTTTTTTAAAAATCAATTCTGAAAGGTTGGCCTCTCTGCACGTTTTAGTATTGACCGAAGATAAGCCCAGGTTACAGAAGACAGTATATCTTTACTTTCACTCCCACATGCAGATGCACTGCTTTTGGCGTAAAACTGTTGTGTTTTTGGCTGCAGAACCCATGTATGGTCAGTAGAACTGTCACAGATAAATTAATTGTTTTCAAGATAATTTCAAATCCTATTTTTCAAGACATAGAATTAATCAATTATGGGGAAATACCCTGAAAATTTTTAACTTCTTGGAGGACATACCCAGAATTCAGCAGTGACTCTCTTCCCCCGTATAGAAATTTGAAAGAATTAAAGTTGTAATCTCAATACCAAGTACCGACCAATCTTCTTTTTGTGCTAAAAACTTGACTCGCTGAAGATTTTGGAAAGATTTTTTTTTTCAGCGAATGCTCCAATTTCTCCGGCAAGTGTTAGTTTGCATTAGTACAGCTAACACAAAAATATAAGTCAGTGAAAGGCTATTGACTGACGATTCTCTGTCGGGGATGGGCAATAGTGTAGACTAGTATACTTCTGTTGTGTATAGGGGAGCTTGCATTCACTTACGTCGATGCATGTGTATGTAGCTAGTATTGACGACAAGTGTGTCAGTACGCCTCCTCTTCAACAGAGATTACACACTACACAACAGCTTGCTGGCATTCTGTAAAATAAGTGAAGTTTTAGAAAGTGGACCGTAGCAGACACTTTAATGAGATCTAGTGAATCAATTTGTATTTTTGTGTTTTGTAGAAATGCAAACTTCAAGAATGTCTTTGAAAGGGGTGAATAAAGTGATTGCTTTCAGGTTTTTTATATTCCTATGGCTGGTGTGATTTGTGAGCACACCCAAATATATCATCATCTCCTACTTTTTTATGTTTTCTCCATTTTGTAATTTTCTTTAAAACATTTTGTATGCTTTTATTTCACAGAAAGTTTATTTGCTAGTTGTCCTACTCCCAAATACAAGCCATGTGAGCTGATGAGGATGAATATTGCCAGATCTGGAGATGACACAGTGCTTTGCTAGAGATGAAATGAGGCTCCTGCTTTATTCGCCATGCAAATATTTATAATGACTTTGTTGGAACATGGGAACAGTTTCATCACACAAGGCCTTGCATCTGAATATGACAATGCAACTGCTCGTGATGTGTGACAAGACTCTAAGTTCCCCCTGCTCTAATACTACGCTCTGCAATGGGGATGTTGGCATTCCTGTTGTGTCTCTCACAACATCATTTGAAGATGTTGAAAAATTGAAAATGAAAATCAGTGCGCAAACTTTGTATGATGGGGATCACGTGAAGAATATACCTAAGGAAGATTCTTGTGATTCTTTGAATGGTGAATCTCATTTAACATGTGAAAACAAGCAATTAGAAAGCGAAGTTCAGGTTTCATCAGGGACACTTAATAAGAGTGAAGAAAATCATGGAATGAATACTAATGAAGGCTTTTTAACAAGCAATCATCTGTCTTTGAAAGAAAATAGTGGTCAACATGCAGCAAAAGATAGTACAACTCTTAAAGGACCTGGCCAAGGCTTATCAATATCATGCATCCCTCAACTTAGCTCAGAGCCAAAGAACCATGTACCAAAAGCTGGCACGAATGTATCAGGTTCTGCAGTAAATGATTTACCTCTTGAGGTTGGTGCCAGTGCTCGTTTCTCAAAGGTCTTAGAAAACATATCATTACCTCTCTTGTACATACCTACTACGAAGCAACTTGTAACTACCGCCAGCAGTGAAAAGGCATCAGATTTAAACACATCATCAGCCTCTGCTCACGAGGATGACAGCCTCAATAAAGATGGAGAGGCAACCAGTCGAGATTTTTTGTGCAATGACCAAGAGTCTTTGAGCAGCCCAAACCAGGACTTGTCTTCGAGTGCACTTCTTGCCCCTCCCCTTTCTATGCATAGAGCCCACAGCACTCAGGAGTTTCACTGCATGGGCAAGTTCCCGGACACAGATCGCCTGACTCTGCACAGTGTGGATAGTTTCCAAGGCCTAGCTCAGCATTTAGAGTTAAGCGGCAGTAACACTTTTGGTGATAATTCTAGTCTGTCAAGTGTAAGCACTGGAACTGATTTCTCTGTTTCTGCTGTTTCCGCGGGTGATGACTGCTATCATTCAGACTCAAGAAGCCTTTCACAACATGTCACAGATGAATCTTTATTTATGGATATCAGTCTTCATACACGGAACTCCTTTGACAAAGGTCGAACTTCTGCTTCATTGGATGGAAAATTTAAAGATGAACACATTCCCGTTTCTCAGGCAGCAAAAAAAACACCTTTAATTGGTCTGAAGTAAGTTGTGCTTACTATTAAGAAATGTTATGTCTTAATTTTTTTAATATATTATATATATATATATTCATAGGTCAACCATTTTATTTCTCATAGCTCATAGACACATACACTGTCTTATGTGTGTACGCAACACTCAATCATGATACTCACACTTGTGCACTTGTACAGGCACATTAGGGTAGAGATGACTCATATTATATGTACATACATTACAAACATTGTGCACTTAACAATAATGCTAGTAATTTGGAACAACAGATTTATACAGAACATTTCAAATCTTTCAAATATGCTGCTTTGTGATATTTTATTATTCAGCATGATTCTTTTTTTTTTTCTTAAAGAAATTATTCTAACATCTTTTACAACAACGAACAATTTTTTCGTATTTTTCTTTTGAGTGCCTGAACAAGTATGGGTCTGTGAAATGATATGATTTGTAAAAAAACAAAATATTCTTAAAAAGTATTTTATTCAAAATTTCTAAAATGCGTCTCAGGTGAGCATACTTTTAGTAGTTACTTAATACTATTCACACGCTACTTTTGAACGAGTTGGAAATGTACAGTAGGTTTCCCATTCTCTCTCCTTCAAAATCTCCTCTTTTTTTCTCTGTCTGACTGTCTCTCTCTTTCTCTCTTCCTTTTCTCTCTCTTTCTCTATCTGTCTGTCTGTCTGTCTCTCTTTCTCTCTCTCTCTCTCTCTCTCTCTCTTTCTCTCTCTCTCTCTCTCTCTCTCTCTCTCTCTCTCTCTCTCTCTCTCTCTTTCTTTCTTCCTCTCACTCTCTCTCCCTTTTTTTAAAACACCCAATGTGACACATACATACTTTACTTTGTACTGAGGTAAAGTGTTCTTGCAAAACGTTTTAGATTGATTGATAACGTACCAGAGAAATTAGGATTTTTTGGTCATTTTATTTTACCATGATAGTTGTACTGCGCATGCAAGCATTATTATATAGATTGAAAACTTAAATTATAATTACTCAACACTCATTGAAGAAGCGTGCAAAGTGGGGGAAAAGAAAACACTTTTGAAGGAAGGTTTTTGTTTGAGTTGACATTTGTAGACAAAATTTCAAATGAAAGACACATAGTGCACTTAAATGATATTTGAAAATAAGTAGATAAAATGGACAAACCATGCAACGTGAAGCATCATGGGTAAATCTAGTTCTTGTCAAAATAGTTTAATTGATGAAGTTGACATTTTTACCACCATTGGATAATTTTGTAAGATATATATAATGATTTGTTGCACAACGTGGTGGAATCAGGCACTCGTCAACTTTTGGGCATGTAGAGTTATTGATATCACCTGAAAGCTTATTCATTTGCCTTGCTTTCAATGAAAAAAATATCCATCTAGCTTGAATAGACGTTGAGATATTTGCGATTGAAGAAGGTGGGGTAGCCTGCTTTCAGTGGTTAAATTAATGAGAAAATGGCCGCCAAAGTTTGGCAACTTCAATAGCGTTAAAAGAGTCCTTGAAAACTGAATTCCGTGCCTTCAAACAAGGGTTTTCAGTAAAATTCACTTGGAAATGTGTCTTCATACAAACATAAAAGGTGTTTAGCCAAAAAACAAAATTTCAATCAAAATTGCCAAACTTGTGTAAAAGTGCCTTTTTGTCGTCTTGTATTATTTTGATGAGCGCCTGTTATCACCACGATGTCTCACATTCATTGATTATTATTTTATTTTAATTTTTTAAAACACCTTTTATGTCCATTTAAAAACACCTCTATGTGGATTTTACTCAAAAACATTGATTAAAAGTATGAAAAGCTCAGAAAATATAAATTTGCAGTCTTGAAAGACTCTCTCAAGCTTTGGAAGTCACCAAACTTTGGTGGCCTTTTCCTTGCATTTACCTCTGAAACCAGTCGACCCCCACCTCCTTCACATGCAGCTATATCTCGACTTCTATTCAATATATATAATGGGTTTTTTTTCTTCAAATGCAAAACAAATGAACATGCTTTAAGATGATACCAATAACCCCATTTTTGCCTAAAAATTGACAATCACCTGATTCCACTGCATTTAGACACATACGAGCAAACATTGTGTTGCCATAATTTGGGTGAAATTCAGGTGTTTGTTTGTTGTTTTTTTTAACAGAAAATTGTACGCCAAGCACCTTGAAGGGTTCATCATGAGAAAATACTATAGAAAATGAAATTTCAGTTAGCTTACGTTCGTTTCAGATAAAGGAAAAAAAAATTGATTTTGATTTGATATAATTATAATGTCAATATTTTATGGGATCAGGCTTTGAAATTTCTATTTACAGCTTATCGTCTTCTTCCAAGTTTCTCCACGCTATCACAACATTTAGACGCAGCATGGCCATTTAGAACAGCAGTCACAAATGCTGCTTTATACTGGCTGTAGTTTACTCCGGCCTGTAACATTTTAAGTAAGAGCTGGGGTTTTTTTTTAAGATTATAATGTGGGCTAACGCTATTACCAAAATATTGAGTTTGTTAGTAATTTAATATAATGTGATAACATTAAAAGGATGGGAAAGAAAGTTCTTGAATACTTATCTGATTATTCACATATTTTTTATGAAAGTATTTTAGTTCTATATTTTGAAAAATATTCCAAGTATGTTATATGTGCCCTTTTTGTTGTTTTCTCTCTTCAGAAATTTATTCTCCAAACGAGCTAAAGAAGAAAGTGCTCCTGGCTGGAAACTATTTGGGAAAGTTCCACCTAAATCTGTTCCCCATCGCAATGCTAAAGAAATAACATCAGAGTTTCAGGCACGTCAGCGGAAAGAAGGTGCTGTGCCAGTTGTCCAAACCTCTGGCGTGAACCATGGAACAGAAGTGATGTCAACCACAGCACTCATATTGGAGAATCGGCCAACGTAAGTTTGGTTTTTCTCTTTTACAGAGGTGTATTGATAATGGAACAAATATTTTAGCTGTGTTTTTATATGCTGATACGTTGAGGTTTATTGCAATTTTGATTTAGAATGCTTTTTCCTTTATATGATAATATATTGTTGTAACAGAAGGTTATAATGTTTTTTCTCCTTTGCTTTCAGAGTTACAGCACAAAAGGTAGCAAGGATAAGAATGTTTGTAAAGCAACAATAAGAATGTTTCTATTTGATTTCATGCGCTTCAAAGACATTTTTAATTCTGCATTCCTGTCTCGTTTCTACAACTAGGAACCTTCCGTGCAAAAGTCCCGAGGAGGCTGAGAAGCATCGGCAGCAATATGAAGAAATGATAGAGGCAGCAAAAAGAAAAGGTGCTTTTTTCCTTTTCAAATGTGAATGTTGTTTTTCGTTCAATAGTTCACACATCGTCTTAGGACCTTTTTGTTTCCTCTCGTTTTTGCTTGTCTTTTGAACTTGATGTTTGAGTTGCATTTGTCGCTCCATTCATTGCTCCCTTCTAACTTATGGACAGCGTTTGAAGCCTCTCTGACAGTCTGCTGCTTACACTTCTCTTCTAAACTTTTAAATCTTTCTAAAGCGTAAAAATTACACAAGTAATGATGCTTTTGTGGTGTAATGTTCTTTACTAAAGTTTTTATTCTTTCTAAAGTGAAAACTACCCCATGGTACTTTGTGTTGAAATATGGCAGTTTTTGTGCTAATTGACTGTAACCTACAACAACCTGTAATGTATTCTGTCAAACAATACTTTTTCCTCTCCTCTGCCTCTCCCCATCATGAGCTTGTAATGTATTCATTAAATATCAAAACAGATTTACCTTACAATTAAATTTTCTACGTTTGACTCCATAGCCAATATCAATCCATTTATTTTGATTACTGAAAAGCTGCTGCGGGGAGGGGGGGGGTTGTTTTTTTCTCCAAAATTGCTAGTCCATTATGGACAGGTTTGATTGCTATTAAAAATATGCATTTTGGGGAATATTTAGAAGCTGCAATACTGATGCTAATGTGTGCATGATGATATGGCATACACGTCTTTTATTAATGAGAAGTGGGTGGTAGGTGGGTGCTTTGGTGTGGTTTGCTCCTTCTTTCCTATGAAACATCTGTCGTCCTTATCCTTCCTCCTTTTTTGTGTATGTTACTCTCTTGTAACATATAATCTATTCTTCGGCACTTATATGACCTTATTGTGTTGCAAGTGCCGTAGACTCATACTAAAACTTAATTAATGAGATGTAAATGGGAATGGTTTGATTCTGTTCAGTGCATGATATTGACTTTTCTTCATGTATTTTTTGTTAAAAGAGCAAAAAGACATCAAGATGAAGAAAAAGCAGCTACAACAACAGCGGAAACTTGAGGACCAGCTCATGTCGGCGGCTCGCCTGTGGAACTCAGATATTCTACCCAACTGGGACGCTATGTGAGTGTTGTTTAGGCTCTTTTTATCACAAATCATTAGTAAAGCATCAGCAGAAATAAAAAGTTTAAGATAGAATGAACTTTCCTAAACAAAACATTTTTGTTGTCTATGGGAACAGTTACATACTTTTCAAGTAAAAAATTGCTGCAGTTCATCTTAGGTGGCTAGAAGTTTTTTGCCAATGTAAATTGAACACATATGTGTGACAGGGTGGGATGAGTATTTTGGCATTTATTACTGTAGGTTCATAGTCCGGTGAAGAGTATACTTGTGGTGTATGTTGACAGTGGTTAAGAGTGTATAGTTATGATGCTGAATAAGAGCAGTAAATACTGTTTTTGTTGAGTTTTGATCATGACAATCTCTATTTTGAAAATATCAGACCTGCCAAGTACTTGATGAAATTGGAGCCCTCTAATTTTTTAATTATTTCTTTTTGCTAATCAGAGGATCATGATTAGATTTGCTTCAAAATCCAGTTTTTTAATTGATTTCTTGAATTTTGTTTTCGTCAGTTGCACTCAACTTTTCGTGAATGAAGTGAAAATTATTTTTAATATTTGCGTGACTTATCATAAATGGTATGAAAATACACATATTTGTTACATGTTTTTGGCTGTTGTATTTGCAGTACATGTTTGTTTGCTACATTCGGTTTGTATCATAATCTTAATCTACTGGGGTTCTGGAGACAGATTATTATTCCCCCAAACTCTGATTTTGAGGGAGGATTCTGCAGAAAACACCTGCTTTTTGACATAGAGTGGTTGGCAAATCTGATGTTTACTTTCTCTCTCTGGAATTATCCTCTGATTCTCTATGTCTGTTGCTTTGAGGGTCAATTGACTATGATATATTCAAAAGATTTTTACTCAAGGGTACTTTATTTTCTACAGTTATTTTTGGTATTTACAATTTTTAACATTTTTTTGTATCACAGGCGCAACACGAAGAAAGCTCGTGACCTATGGTGGCAGGGCTTACCCCCCAATGTGAGAGGCAAAGTGTGGAAACTTGCCATTGGTAATGACCTGAACATCACGCATGGTGAGTCACATGTGCAGGAAAGGTTCTCAGTGCTTGATGATCCCCACAGGGAGAGCAATAAGTGGAGAGAGGGAAATGGCAGAAAACGGGTTATCAATAGTTTCAGGTCTGTGTCTTCTGCTTTCCCCTGAGTATAACTTTTCGGGTTCTTCCCCACAGGGCAGTGGGTAGTTTCCTGTATGGTGTATTTTACTACAAGATTCTTGGTTCTCTCATCTTTATATCATTTTCAGAGTCCTCCTCATATGTATGTGGACTACCTTCTTTTTTCTTCATCTTTCAGTAGAGATTATTTTCTCATTTTGCTTGAAGATGGCATGGACAGGCTTAATCTTATTCTTGTTTCTACAGTGAAGATATCTATTGCTTTTGCTTAAAGGATGAGCTGTGTTTTTGTGTTTTTTTTCTTAATCCAAATTGATCGGAACCTTATGGTTAGGATTGTGCAGAACCATTGAAAAATTCCAAGCATCAAAGTGAGTGGACTGAATTTATCTGGGTTCTCTTATTGTGAGCAGTGAGCTTTCAGTTTGTATTTCTTTACTTTCACTTTGTTGTTTCCTTTTGCTTGTCTTTTTTCCCCAATGCTAAATGACCACTTTGGTGTCAGTGCTTCTCTTTACAAAAACAAAAACAAACAAATGACAATAAAAGCTTCTATTTACTCAAAACCAGGCACTGTTTATTACTTCTATGTGAGCATGGTTCCCTTTATATCAACCAGGGGAGAAATTCATTTGAAGACTGATTTGAGTCTGTGAGAAGCCATGCTCCCCACAGAGTGTTTTAGACAAACTGAAGTTGATTTCATCAATGTTGTTCAACAGTGGGTGTTTTTTGTTAATGCTGTTTGTATTGACTTTCAAATTATGTGTTGACAATGGGTAGGACTTTTACTCCTACATCTTTTCAGCACTGCATCCGCCTTCTTCTGTTTCTTATTAAATATGGCAGTGATTGTGTCAACTCGCCTTCATCTACAGTTTGTCACCAAATGCAAATTTTGTTTTTAGAAATCTATTCTTTACAGAGACCAATGTAACCAAAAGTTATTTGTGTTTGTTCCCAATCCCAGAATTGTATGAAATCTGCCACGAGCGAGCTGAGGACAGAATCAAACTGGTACAAGCAGAGAGTGGGCTGGCCACCTCCGCGTCAGAAGGTATTTTTCATGTCTCCTGCCATGTTTTAATCATCTTTTTCAACAATGCTTTTATGGTACAAAGTTTGTAAGGTAATTTCATATGGATCTCAGTTGGAAATGTGTAATTAGTCGTAGTTATTTAATTTCCTTTCCATTGTCAGTTTGATCTGATAATATGACTGACCTCTATTTGTGCAGTGCTAAATTGTGTTTGAAATTTGTATTTTTATAGGATGTTTTTTAAATATGAAATTGAAGTAAATGAGTTAAGTTCAAGTGGAGCTTCAAAGGTTTGAGGAATAGAAAGAGGACTGGTTATACTTAAGTATTTGGGGAACAGGATATTTGTTTCTCACAGGCGTAAGGAAATACTATGGTCTGCAGCTGATAGTATGCACCTGGAGTAACAAGAAAAGTACAGTTAAATGAACATGCCGTCTAGGGAATTTCTAAGAAGAGTATTATATTATGAACCACTTGGCATCTGGTCTCCTGCGGTGGGTAGTGTTATTGAGCAGAGCTTGCCCTGAGGTGTCAAGTTTTCTAATATTGAGTTATTCATTTTCTAATATTGAGTGATTCACAGACGACCATCAAAGATACAACATAGCCTTCTCGCACTGTCCTCTCGCCAGTCAGGGGCAGTCACTGGCTTTTCTCATTGGGCAATTCTGCCACACTTCTTGTCCCTAAACTTTTTTCCCTCACTGGCAAAGTTATAATTTCGAATAAAAAAAGGAGGGCATTTGCGAGATATTTTTCCATCAGTTTTAAGCGAAATTAGTAATTTTATGGCTGATCTGTTTCTTGCACTACCACAGGAGTGATCTTGCCATTGTAAGGGGTTGTCAATTTGGAATGTGCACTTCTGAGTGATAGTTGTACAAAGTTCTGCGCTACCACTGTGTTTTGACACAAATTGGGGTTTTATATGTATTGCTGTTGCTTCTATTAGCCGCAAACCATTATATTGATATTTAAATGGTACCTGAGATAAATGAGCAAAACACAGTAGTAAGGTGTCTTTTCTAAAGATGCAGTGTTGAATGCACAACCCACAACTGAAGAGAAGACTGTAATCCCGGCTCTGGCAACCTTATCTCAAGTCTAAGTGCACAAGATTTAATCTAAACGCACAAGATCTGTTTAAGAACACAATAATGAAAATTTTCTTTGCTTTCAAATTAATTTGATGATAACATGATTTTTATTTGCTTTATTTACTCAGATGTAATTGGTGTTGTTCATTGAATGCTTTTTTTTTTCTCTTCTATAGCGTCCTTGGGTTCCTTGACGAGCAGTTCGTCAAACAAAGAGTCCAGTGTAAAAGTTATCAAGTTAGATGTGTCTCGAACATTCCCTCAACTATGTATATTCCAAAAGGTTTGTTTTTCTGTTTCATTTGGTTATTCTGGGTTTTTGTAAAGAAAATTAATGCTTTTTGTTGCTCCTAGGGACTAGATTCTACAATTATCCTGTCCCTTTTGTAGACCTGCATGTTTGCTGACAATCGTCTGAAATCCAACAATTGCTACCCGACCCACGACCCAGGCAATGCTATCTCTAGGCTCACCTGTATTAGTCAATGTTCGAGGCCTTGCCAATCGCCAGCGCCTCTTTTTTCCCCGGTCGGCTTTGTCTGCACTTTCGTTTTGTGCAGACGTAGGCGTTCCTGACATAATTGGAACCTGAGTAGAAATACCAATGCGGAAAAAAAACTGATGATGTGAATTACATCTACTTTCAGTTTAGTGCTCGAGCGGCCATTTTGAATTTAGTTTGTTGACCAATTGTTCAGATGTGGATTTCATTCAAGGCCTACTCACTTGTTCTTCTAGATCTAGATTTATATAGACTATATGGAGGATTCATATCGGCGGTGTTATTCTCAAACCGGCTACGTGCAGAAAGGCAAATTTTATAGGAGGACAAAAAACTGATTTTTGTTAAAACGTGCAGCATGTTCTTACATATTTCTATACAAAAGGTTAAGTTATAAGCGTTGGGACCAAATACTACTTGATTTTTCTTAATGATGGTGTTCTTGATGGTCTTAAATACCACAACCAATAGTTTTATTTGGCACATAGCCGATTATGGGATGACAAAAAATGTGCAGCACAATGCAAGTGGCCAGTTCTCTGCACTAAGCGGTTCGCGCATGACACTTTCGCGCTCAGCCGTGACACGAGGCGTTATGTGGCCGGTTAGGCGCAGCTGTGTGCTTCTGTTCGCCGTCATAGTAAGTATAGATCTCCATGGACGACGGTGAGTTAAAGGCCTAGTATTTAAACTAATATCTTAACGAAAGCTGACTGGTTCAAACAAAATGCTTTTGAATGACAAGTTCAGTGCTTTGACTGGTCCTTTGTCAGTATATTAATTAACCCTAATGGTTGAGCGTAAGCCTGGTTACTGGGGGGGTGTTGGTTCAAACTTTGTTGCCTGTTTTTTCATAATGGAGGTTATTTAAGAAGAGGGGTGGGGTGGGGCTCTATATCTGCCCGTTTGGAAATTTAGCTGTACTACACGAAATATCCCAGTATGTCAGGTCATCAATTGCACGACTAGAATTGTTGATAAGATGACCTCTATGTGTTTACAAAAATATCAAACAAAACCCCATAACAACCCGAACTAAAGTTGTCTAAAAAGCCAGGATAACACTTTTTTCAGTATTGTCTGAGAAACCTCCAGTTTTGTTTGATATCCTCCCAAGAGCAGGGCCTCCATATGGCTCATGTTGGTCTCGGGGTTCTAATCTGGATCAGGGGGTTATGGGTTCAATTCTCGGCTGAATTATAATAAAATTTAAAACCTGGTCACTTAATTTGCATCCTATTGTTTGGGGCATGGTTGAGAGACTATAGTAACCTGTATTGTTTAATTGTGCCTAGGCGGGGTTCATTTCTTCCTGTGCATTTAACTTTTATTATTTCTCATGCTTGAGTTCCTGTATAATAAACAATGACAAAAAAGTAACAAGAATTCAATTATTGTGAATCTCTACTTTCCCGATCAGCTTTGTTCAGTGCTAGTCAGTTGACTGAGCATGGTAAAATGGATGGTAGTCAACTGGCATGAGCTCTTACACAGGATGTCCAGCAAGGTCATAAAGTCGTTAAAAAGTCGTAAATTCAACGCCCGGGTCGTAAAGGTCGTAAATGGTAGAAAAGTGCTGTGACGGTAGTAAACGGTCGTAAATTAAATCTGCGTACTGAGTAATGAACCCGGCGAGACTTTTCAGTGAACGGTGTCATAGCTGCGGTACTCGGTGATTAGCAAGTCCCATCTTTTACTATTATTCGTTCGACTTTTCACGGTCCGAGAATTCGTTTCATGCGAACAGGCGGCTATGCTGGCTTGAGGAAGTGAATGTGAAACCTAGGCTTGATCGGGAAAATGAAGATCTACTTTCGCTTTCGTTACCACCCAGAAATTTGCCAGCAATAGACTGATAACGCAACATTTGTAACATGCAGGTTGTGCAGTATAAACGCTGTGTCGCCGTGCAAATAAAATTCAATCAATACTTGGACTCGCCACTGTGTTGTCACTTGTGTGAAAAAAAAAAAAGAAAATACAAGCATCTTCCGATTTTTAGAGAATCGGGCTTGACATCGTGACTGGTCTGTGAACCTGCGCGCATTCGCATCTCATGATATGACATGATACTGGTTAGTTGTGAACAATGTAAAGGTTTATAGTTGCACATGAGATAGGTGTATACAAATGAACTTTATTGTTATTATTATTGATTGCGCATTGTTGGTGTAGATCAATTTTGGTTTTTTACAGATCTCTTACTTTTGATTGTCATGGCAATTTGGTACTGTGGAATTTGGTTAGAAAATAATGACATAATGGAGCAACATATTTCTTATCATTCATTTGTATGATTTCTATCTTTTGAAGGATATTTCATGGTTTGATACCCCTACAACAGAGAAAAGAAGGCTTGTTCCAAACTCCTATCGCAAGTCTGTTAATTTTTTTTTTTTCAGGGTGGTCCCTATTATGACCTTCTCCACAGTTTGTTAGGTGCTTATGCCTGCTACCGGCCAGATGTGGGCTATGTAAGTATTACAGACCTGTCAAGTATTCTAATTAAATCATAGTTTGCCAGTTTTCCTTTGCTTGTCATAGATCTCCGTTCATTTTGTTTTTTGTTGTTTTGTTATTGAAAATATATGGTATTAATTGTAATATATGTGTGACTTGTTGTTAATGATGAGGACAAATTTGGGAGGATTAATAGGGACACTCTTATTTTTTATCATGGAGTGGTTGACAGGTCGATTATTAATCTGTAACAAGTGTATTGCATTTGTTTCTGTAGCTGGAGTATTTTTTTACAATTTGAATGATTCATTAAGATGTATATCATATCTTAGCTTTTATGAACAATGGAATTTATGTTATACCCAAACTATATGTCTTTTCTTTTAAAGTTACCAGATTATATTTTAGAAGAATTAAAAATGTCTGCACTCATTAGGCATCTTTTCTCAAGGTACATCTGGAATGACCGTTTTATGTAGGCTTCAGATTGAAGATTTATAATCGTGTCACCTAGCATTAACAAGGCTTTTTTTTTTAATTTGTTGAAATTTGACCATAAATTGTATAGCAGAACTTGGGAAAGCGGAAATGGAATTTTGAATTTATACATGCAGACTGACTGTTAAAATCATGAAGGCTGTTGATCAAGATTTATAGTACAATCGATGTACAGCATATAATGCAAGGGCACCATTGCTTTCTAGGTCTGCTGCTTATTTCTGTCTTTGACTAATGAAGGTCATTGTGTCGAATTACATCTCTTTTTATGTGAATGTTTTTAAGAAATACATGTCTGTTGCTTGACTTGAAAGAGTTTCTGTGTTGGGAACAAATGAAAGCGACAAATGTGTAATTGATGGGTTGTATTTATATGTTTTCTAATTTTCCATTATTTTAAATAATCGAAAGTGTAACAATATACATGTAATTTTGATGGGTCTTTTGTCATAAATTGTGTACATTATACAAGAACTTGTTCTTATCTGGCCTCTGCAGGTGCAAGGTATGTCATTTATTGCTGCTATCTTGCTGCTCAATATGGATGTGGCTGATGCCTTTGTCTGCTTCGCCAACTTGCTCAACCGACCATGCCAGGTCACTTTTTTCCGCATGGACGAGAATATGGTAAGCTCTAAGTTTCTTAACAGGGTGAAAAGTCTGCCAAATGGTAATGAAAACATTTGTTATTGGATTCTTTTATTGGGTGATTTTTTTTTTAATGTGGGGAGAGGGTATATTTTGCCAAAGTAAAATGCTAATTGTTGATTCAAAAATGAAAGTATGGCGGTATAAATGGGTGTTTTTTGGGGGGAAGTGTATTTACTCTTGTTTCTTATGACAATAGCTGCTGTCACATATCTTTTTACTTTTTCTTTGAAATGTTTTTCAATCTTTGTAGTGTAGAAGAAAATATATAACTGTCATCAAAAGGGAAAAGTGTGGATTTGTTCTCCCTGCCTGTCTGGATGAAGTGTATTCAGAACAGGTTTTATGCTCCTTTCCCCGAGGTGAGGTTATCTAAAAGGCAAAAAACTGCCTGATAATATCCTTGTCAGATCTTAGGGCTTGGCAAAGTAGCGGAGCAAACAGAGTTCGAGAATCCCTTTTTGTTCCTGGCCTGGAAACTCCACCCAGTGTTGCCTGACCATGAGACCAGCAACATTTCAAGTCAATCTGTGATTTGACTTAAATCCAGATTGTCTGCCCTTTAGTCCAGGAGGAATTCTTTATCAATGATTTGTAATGGAGCAGTAAAATTACAAATAGTACAGAGAAAAGACATTATAAAGAAAGGTAGAAGTCTCTGAACTGTCATTCAGTGTATTGAAGAACCTGTCTTTTTTCCACAGATGACTGCATACTACAGAACCTTTGAGGAATTTTTCAAAGAAAATCTGCCTAAGCTCTATGCTCACTTCAACTATCATAGTGTTACTCCCAACTTGTACCTCATGGAATGGTAAGTGAAAACTGAAATCTTGTCAGATCATTATATTCGGTAGGATTTACAAAACAAAATTTGTTGAGAACTTTTTTACTCTTTTGTTTTGGATGAAGTGACCTCATAAAAAGTATAGTTACAGCATATTTATTATTTTTGGGGCATCTTAATCCATTTCCTTTTTACCACATTTAGTTTAACCTGTTTCAGTACATGATCAGCACCTTTATGTGTACTTCATGCACAATGTATATTTCAGCACTTTTGTAATAGGTTTCATTATGGTTTTTTAAAACCTTTATAAGTATGCTTTTGTATGAAGTCTCTCTTTCAGATCCTTGTCCTCAAAAGATGAAATGTGTAGAAATTGTAATGTTATGAAATGATATGTTCAACAATATTTGTGATTGCTTTTAATTTTGTTTCCGGCTGTGGTTGTAGTGCAGTGTCTTGTTGCTGGGTCAATCAGCTGTGCTTATTTCGATTTATTTAAGAATGAAAGATACTGAATGGATGAAAAGTTTGAGCATTAAGCAGCGCTATTCTTGAAGAAAATTCTACCTTCTATCCCAGGGTTTTCTTGCTATATAGCAAGTCACTGCCTCTGGATGTGGCATGCCGTGTATGGGATGTCTTCTGTCGAGATGGCGAGGAATTCTTATTCAGGACTGCAATAGGTATGTATATGACTGTCTTTCCATGCCAAGGTTGCATTTTTTAAGAGTCCGGTGTTTAACTGTGTAATTGAGACATTACCGTTAATGCCTATAGCCTGCTCAGTATGAAAAAAATGGGCTGTATACATAAAAATCAATCTCTTTATGGGTTAAAGCAGAAGGGAAAATGTGCTCCGAATATCCCAATGGGAATTTTAAAGAAGAGCAAGTTAAACTGTCTGAAATGAAATACATTTTCATAGGTAAAAGTTATGAAAACTGCTCAAATGACCAGCATGAAAGAAGGCCGCAATGTGTGCTCAGATCAGGGTAATTTTTTTTATTATCAACTGAGCAGGAAAAGAAACAAATGAAGTGGGCTGTTCATGACACCTGTTGATTTTCCATTTCACTATTCAACTCTGAAATCTGCGCACTTACAGAGATGCGACTTTAATCCACTGATAAGACCAACTTCTTCTTATGGCCAGCATTCTCCATGAGGCACCAGGGTCACTCGACAGTGTGTTTATTTATATTGGAAATAACACCTTATTTTTTATAGCGCACACAAGGTTTCTATAAATAAGTGTCACGAGAATATGAATAACCTCCTTTAATAAGTTAACAAGTCATTACAAGTGGTTACACCCATTCAAATAAACCTTCTAGAACTTATTGATGTTACTTACGATCTGGAGTTGGATAGGAAAAAATATAGGTCAATTTCCAAATGTTTTGCTCTCAAATTTTTTTTCTAGCTGCACAATAGTTTTCAAAACTATTAAATAGAATGATTTCATCAGCAAATAAAATTTTATGTAAAAATCATGCTCTTTTGAAAGATTTTTTAATTGAAAAATGAAAGTCTTGTTTCCTGGTTGTCCTTTCGAGTTCCTCATGTCTTAAGAGGGTCAATTTGCTCAAATTTCTTTGGATGAATGAACATATAGAGCTACCAAATTTACCTGTTTTGAAAGAGATGTACACCTTGGTTTCAAACCAACAGTGGCAGTTCTAGACGTAGGCCACAAACATACACAAACACAAGCAGACTGATGCACCAACAATTCGGTCGTGTAAATTCCAGACCTGCTGGTGCCCAGCACACATAAGCTAAGCAGGTCTGGGCTGATTTGGGACCTTTGGAAAGCGAGTGTGCCGAAACCTGCTTATCGATGTGCATAAAAAACGGCGCGTGGTGATAATATAGACGAAGATAATAAAGTTACATATGCAAAAAACTTACACTCATTTATGTACTTCCCCTCATCCTCAGATTACCATTAGTATGCCTCATGGAAACATTTAATGTATAGAACCAAGCCACAATTACATTCCCTGAGAATAGAACCCCTCAAATGTTTGTCTTTTTTTCAACTCTATTCGACTGATCAACTGGAAGTGAATAGATAAGACTGTAATGACCTTGCACAAAAAAACCCATCCAGTAATCAAAGAAATACACAGACTGGATTAATCAGTAATCAGCCTAGGTCTAAAATAGGAACGGAAAGAGAGAGAAGTCAAGTTCATGGTACCAATAATGAAATGCATAATATGTACTGTGAGCAGCAACATAGTGTAGCCTGAGACCTGTAAGTGGGCTCTGAAAAAAGTTGTCTTAATTTTTAAATAAAAATTTGTATTGTTGTAGGCACAAATATGGCTGCTTAAAATGTGGGGGAAGGCTGAGAAGGACAAAATGGAGGTTTATGTAATATCAAAGGTTCCAATGTTGAAGGCTACTGAACTCATACAGTTGCATACTTATCAAACCTGCTGATTAGATTAGCCTGCATCACCAAAGCCTTTTGCCTGTCTCTTCAGGTATCCTGAAGCTCTATGAAGTGGTGCTGATGAAAATGGACTTCATCCACATGGCACAGTTCCTGACCAAGCTCCCAGAGGACATCTGTGCTGATCACCTGTTCAAGGAGGTGGATGGTGTGAGGATGAACATCGACAAAAGAGGATTCCATGCTGTCCATGCCTTTTTCAAAGACCTTCACGAAAATACTTCGTTATCATAACACAGACCGAAGCCTGTTGTTTTAGCATAGGGCAGACTCTGAGATCAAAATGTACTGGGGGGGGGGGGGGGTCAGGGATGCAGCCAACAGACCACAAACATATATTGTGTGCAGGAGACTCTATAACTTTGGTTCAGTGTATGGGCAAGGGGTTTGATAATTTTACTCTTTCTGTTGTGTTTAGTTTTATCACAAAAAAATTATTTAGTTTTCTATTTTTTAACGTAACATTTTGTGAAAAGTGAGACTAAAAATAACTGTTCGTTCTTCTGTTGTGGGAACAACACTATTGGTCCTTTGCCCTATTTTTCCATTTTGCCCTCTTAGATGCATACTTTAGAAGAGGGCTCTCATGACCAAGACGTTAGCCTCTCTTTTAATTGGTCCTGAGTTTGAATCTAGGTAGCGACGGAAAATTTTCTTTTCTAAAATTTTCTCCTTTCACATCCTTTCTTGCTATCTAATAATGTTCTGTCGTCTGCTTTTGTCTGCACTTTCTGCCACCACCTTTTAACCTCCTTTGCCCCCTCTTCTGGGCTCGTGACTCTTTCTACAGCCTTTCTATTGCTCCTCCTTGGCTCCTTCTTATTGATGTGTTTCAGCCACATCCCTGATTTTCTGGTAGGAAAGATCTACACCTAGCTTTCTTAGACAAGTGCGAAAAATCTCAGCGGTCATGTATACTAGTTGCATATGTTAAAGATTACTTGGCGGTCCAAAATCGATAAGTGTAGGCTTCACCCGCCACCTGTGCAAAATTCAAAATTTCCTACTAACTGAAAAAACATCTGGTGTTTCCACGCTCTCATATGGCCTAATGCAGTTGTGAGCACCATAAAGCATTTACAAAAAAAAAATACTTTAGTCTCTCTGGAAAGTTGCTGACCCACCTAGCTACTCTTTTTTATTTGTAGAATTTCACTTTGTTTGTTATCATTCCCAGATACTATTGTAGTTTTTACCTCCTGTCCTTCCATTTACCCTCCCTTTTTTATTTTTGCCAAATTTTTTCCAGTACAATGCAAAAAAACCATAAAAATATGTGTGTGTCAAGACGTGGTGGAATCAAGCGCTCGTCAACTTTTGGGCATGTGGAGTTATTGTACATTGTTTTGCTTTTGATGAAAAAATTACCCATCTATCTTATATAGACGTCAAGATATTTGCAATTGAAGGAGGTGGAGGTTGCCTGGTTTCAGAGGTAAAATTAGCTAGAAAATGGCTGCCAAAGTTTGGTGACTATCAGAGCTAGAAAGTCCTTGGAAACTGCAAATTACATTTTTGGTGCCTTTGATCAACATTTTTCAGTAAATTCCACACATAAATGTTTTTAAATGGACGTAAAAGGTGTCACGTGAAACAGAAGAAAAAAATTTTCAAGATTGCCCAACAGCCGTAAAAATGCAGATTCTTTGATTTCATTATTGGGACAAGCGCCTGACTTCACCATGGTGCCTCACATATCGATATTTTTTTGTTATGAGTTTTTATACAAATTTTCTATTTGCTTTTGTGGGACTTTTTAAAATTTTCTCACATTCAAGTCAATGACCTATTTGTTGGGCAGACAAATATATTGCTAACATGCTAGGATAGTGGTCAACATAAAACAGATTCACCTTGGCATCTCTTGTATAATTACCTACAAACACGTAAATTCCACCATCATTTTCCAACTTACTATACAAAAATTATTATGGCCTGAGTTGAGAAAAGACATCAAATTGAAACTTTTTATTTTCAATTTGCTCAAAACTATGATAGTTGTCATAGCCTGTTGATGATATGTTGAATGTCTCTCAAGATGTATCGCTCAGAGCAAATAAGAAAAGTGGAAGTTTAATCGGTAGTTTTGTATTGAGATTCTGCTATGACCAATGTTTAATCTATCTGTAATGGCAGATACTGGCATCAGTGACCCAGGCTTAAAATGGAGTGAAGAAGCTGGCTATTTCAGAGTACTGATGGAAATAAAATAAGGACAAGTATTTTTTCCGGTAATAGGCTTTTGATAACCTCTTATTTAAGACAGCCAATTGTATTGATTTTTAAATCATATAATGAGGATCAAGTGTCCTCTTTTTTGTTCTGAAACTTAAATGATATACAGAAGTGCTTCACATTCTTGACTGATGGTCCCGTCTGCCGTGTGTTAAGAAGATGCTAGTCACAATTGAGGGACAATCATTCTGCCTGGTCCATTATTTCCAGATGCTGCTAATATTTCTGTAGATGTTACATTCCTAGCATTCCAAAGTAGTATTATCTGTTTCTCTGCTCACTGTATTTTTACCATTAAAACTATAGCTTGAGACAGGTCCTATTTGGTTTTTGATGGTTGACTGATGCTGTGGTGTTGTATGTTCCTTCTTTTCTATCAAACATCTTTCGTCCATAACCCTCCTCTTTTTGTTCTTTTTTAGTTTTTGTAGAGGTTTTACGGCGCTCGCAATTGCATAAGGTCATATGAGCACCAAGGGGTGGATGGCATCTGAGACGTCCTTACAGGGAATCAGGCTTACTCTGCTCACTTCTCTTGCTTCAACGGCACAAAGTCTGCTTCGACTATCAAGGCACCGCAAGAGTGTGACAAACATTCAAAAGAAGTAGCGGAAAAAACGACGATAGTAAGGATTAGGAAAGAAAAAGCAGCAGTTCCCTGTTGTAGTTCAGGCACAGTTATAGCATGACATTGATGAATCAGCCGATTTACAATAATTACAGTCGTACTGTGAGTAAGAACATGGTTAATCTCACCCCTCTGGGAATGGCCGAAAGACCCCTCAGTCAGTAGCACCGCCTCGGGGGGTCCTTTTTGTTGTTACTCTTTAGTAACGCGTCTAATCTTGGACATTTATATGACCTATTTGTGTTGCAAGTTGTTAAAAACTCATACTAAAACTGAACTTAATTTTGGTCATGAAAGGCCACTGTTGTACTAAAAATGGGCTGAATGCTTGAACTGTTCGATATGTTGACGATGAGGTTTCAGCTGTGACAAAGTTACAATTTGATCCAGTAGAGACTTCAGAAAAGTCTTTTCAATAATATCTTTTGCCCTATTTTCAGTTGCTAACAGTTTTCAATAGTTTTCCTCTATACAAAGACTTCTACAACTGCTGAGAGATCTTGGAAGTTTTCTGTCCAATAGGGTTTTTCATATTCTGGTATTGCTCTATGTAATTGTATTATCTTTGACTTATAGTCATTACTGTTTCTTGTGTTCTTTTATTGAGTACCTTCAATAGATTATAATGGGCACCTTTTTTGCTTTTAAGTTCTTCAGTCTTAATCACTGTCTTACGGTGAAACAGTGAATGGCTCAATACTCTTGATTTTAAGGTACTTATCTTCACTAAAACACTCTGCATGATCCTACTTTACAGGGTCAGGGAAAACAATTTAGAAATCTTCTTTTGCCTTTTGACAATGGTGTTATGGTGAAATGGGGCCTTCATCATGCCTGGTTCACTGTAAACTTTCCTCTCTGCAAGAATATTGCGAATGCTTTATTTTACATGTGTTTTTTTTGTTGTTGTTTTTTTCTTAAATCTTAACCAGAAGTGTGATAGAGGAAGGCTTGTCACTTGTTGATGGTCACAGTATTGATATTCAGAATCTGTATGATTCTTTACTGCTATCTCATTTACCTGTTATTTTTTTCCCTGTACTTTTTTCATAATCATTACATTTTACCTAATTTTTAAAAAAATTATACCGGAGTATTCTGGAGCAGTTAGTTGAAAACTTAACCAATGCACAAAAGTGTTGGGTTCAAATGTGGTTTAGGGTTGATTTTTTTTTTTCCTTCCAGAGACGCTATATCTCTCAGCCTGATGTCCAAATAAAGAACAAGTAGTGTTTTACTTTATCTTTAGTTACCCCTAAAATACCGTTATGCTACGAAAGTCACTTAAATTTCATGATAGCATTTATTCCTGTGTATTTGAAGTATTCATAGAAAAAATTTCACATTTTTGTTTCCGCTAATTGTTTTTTAATTTGCTTGTTTGTGAGTATTCCTGTGCACGTGATGTGAATTTTGTCAAAATTTTGATTTTTTAACTTCAAGTCACAACTCCAGACTGTCTTTGCTGTGCAGTGTTTTGTTGGCAAGAAGTTTTGTTGTGAGAACTATTTGCTGTACAGAATGTCATTTATTGAGAACCATCTGCTAGTCTTAAGATGGCAGTGTTTTGTCATCTACATGCACACAGCTTTCACATTACCTTCAGTATCGGTCACACAGGTGCAAACAAGGAAACACATTTTATTTCACAGTTGTACATAAAGTAAAGCATGTGTGTCTGGCTTTCAAAAACACGACAGGTCTCTTACAGAACGGTAAAGGGTTTTCATCGACCAATGACTGAACTCACAATCAATGCATGCCCTGTGAGTAAAGGGGCTGTATGTCTTATTGTACAGTAAATAAATATTCATCATGTTAATATTGTAAAGTCAATGTCTTTGTTTCCTTCCAATCCCTTTCAGTGGGTACAATAATGGAACTTGTGATGAACTCATGGGCATTAGGGAGCTATGTGTTTTAAGGTGCAAAGTCCACATACAAAGAGAATGGAAGAAACTAAAATGCATGTCTTTCACTTTTGTATAACTTATTCCACCGAGAAACAAAGGTCAGTTCTGTATATGCGTACATATCATGAGTATTCTTTCTCTTTGAATTGTCTAAATTGTACATGCTGTACAGAATGTCTGCCTGTGATCCAACAGGGCCTATGACCCTGTGAACTCAAGTCTGTGGGCTTTGTTATGTGTCTTGTAGTGTTTCTTATTATGTGAGATCAAATTTGGAAACTGAGTGGTCATTCACATCATTTTGTTTAAATATTGAATTAGGTTGGGTTTTTTGTTCAGTTTTGCCATAGAGATTACTTGTATAAAAATAGTAACATTTTTGTTTCTTTAGAAATAAAATGTAAGCTGTAGCTGACTAAATTTGAAAGCTGGGCTTCTTTAAGTGTGCTGAAGTGCCAAATCAGCAAATTCCTAGTGTTTTCTTTTCTGTTATCCGTCTTTCAAAATGTATACTGATGTGTTGACCGCTTTTAAAATTCTTTGAGCTGATGAAATTTGATTTGAGCAAGTAATTTGTGTATGGTTTGGTACAACTTTTATTTACTAGAAAGCTGTTCAGTTCTACATGTTGGAAATTCTAAAGGTAGTACTTCTACATTTGAAAAAAAAAGCATAACTTCTCATACTGGGGTACTTTAGTAATTTGTTACCTTGCAAAATGAGCTCTCCACATTGTCGTTCGACTGTCCAGGTGGTCAACTGTCTGTCCACACTTTGGGTACTGTTGGAAGTGAACAAAACGCCATTTTAAATTTTGGCATCAAAATGTTTTACTTGGTAAATCGAAAGCCTGATCAGTTACCCCACTTGTGTGAAAAAATCAAACTGAAACTGTGACTTGTTTTTGAATAAAATAGAATTCAAATT